CAAGCAACGGTAGTACAGGGTGAGGAAGATCGGGAGGCTTGTGGCGGCTGGGATCCGGACTTTTCCCAGGGTCTTCCAGACAAATTCCAGGAAGCAAGTTAGGCCCCCCGCCTCCCTTTTCTCTAAGAAGCACCACCAGTGTTTATACATTCTCTGGAACCTCCTTTTTAGGACATCAATAGCCCCAAGAGAGATGAGAACACTTAATTCTTAGAACCAGAAAGGACTCTTCCCTCCTTTAATGGTGCTCCATTTGCAAACTACAGAACAGACCACCGCTGTGTCTGCCTTTCACACAGCCTTGTAAGGTTTACAAACTTGTCCAGATGCACCCTCATACATGGGCTCAGCGGAGAGTCATAGAGGCAGGAGCAGGACTCACGCTGGACTTTCTGGGTTAGAATCTGGGCTGAGCCACTTACTGCATGGCTGTGTGGCCTTGAGAAAATTCCTTAACCTCTCTGGCCCTCAGTTCCCTCTCTTAATGCTAAAACCTTCTTCAATGGAGTATTGAGAGCGTTAAGTGAGGTAATTCATAAAAAGTGTTTGAAGTTTTCTATCAGGGGTGTGTAAGAGTTTTGGAAATACTTGGTATATAGCAGGTATTCACTAAGTGTTGGTTTATTATTGCTACAATTTCATCACTTGATTTTTCTCAATAACCTGATGAGGCAGGGACAATAAAAATAGAAGGCTGAGGCTCCATGAAGCCAGGCCATTTACCCAAGGTCACATGGCTATCACTAAGTGACCCAGCAGGACTTTGAAGCCCCAGCTCCACACCCAGTGTCTCCCACTGCCCAGAGCTGGCCCCGGGTGTCCTCGCCGAGCCGTGTATTGCTGTCACCCCAGGCAGCCCATCCGCTCTGAGCAGGGGCTCACCATGGTCCCTCTCATGACAGATGCCCAGAAGTGTGAGCTGATCTGCAAGTCAGCAGACACAGGGGATGTGGTGTTCATGAACCAGGTGGTCCACGACGGGACACGCTGCAGCTACAGGGACCTGTACAGCGTCTGTGCCCGCGGCGAGTGTGTGGTGGGTGCCCCTCCAGGCCACCAGCCCTTGGCCCATACAGAGAGACTGGAGGGTTGCACCATGGGAAGATCGGCCTGGCCTCACCTACCCCTCTCTTGTCACCCTTTGTCCTCAGTGTAGCCATGAGGTACTAGAATGGGGTGGAGACGGGAATCATGGCCACTCCAGGTATAGGACCTGGGCTAGAAAACGGTGAATTTGCAGCAGGGCCTTGTCCAGAGCTGCCTCTCAGGCCAGGCTGCCTTTCCTGGCCTAGGCCTGGGTACTGGGGAGGGAGCCGGGGGCTGCCAGCTGGGCCTGGTGGTGGGGGTAGGAGAGCCCCCTTCTGCTGACATCACCTCTGGTCTCAGCCCGTCGGCTGTGACAAGGAGGTGGGATCCATGAAGACAGATGACAAGTGTGGAGTCTGTGGTGGTGACAACTCCCACTGTCGAACCGTGAAGGGGACCCTTGGCAAGGCCTCCAAGCAGGCAGGTGAGCTGGGCTGGGGTTCTGGTCATCCTTTGAACTATGCCATGGTGGGGAGAAGGGCCCTGGAGCCTGTCTCCAGACCTCCTGTTGCCCAGGACTGGTCAGCCAGAAGCCAAGGCTGGTCACCTCACCTTATGGGGGGCTGTGTTCGGTGCCCAGGAGGGTCAGAAGCTTTTTCCTGTGTATTGTGTCTGAGCTATTGGTAGGGGTGAGGGGTCAGATGGATGTGAAGGGGTGGCTAAGACTGCATTGGTCATTTTCTGCTCCTCCCCCTTCTCATTTATTTTTAAACCTGTGCTCTCCTGCTTTGAACTCTTGACTAACTTTGAGTTCCTCCCCTCCCCTCCCCACCTCCTATCTGATCACACTTGCTATAGAAAAGTTTCATGTATTAGTCCTTTATGCTTTAGTATGAACTAGATCTATTGGGTCATCAGGAAACTCATGATGCATCTTTGCATAGAAAAATATATCATGGGGACCAGCAGTTAGCATAATGGCTATGTTGCTGGACTCCCACGTAGTCGACCATGGTTCACGCCCTGGACCCGGTGGCTTAAAACTCACGCTGGGCGCGTGTACATGCGTGCCCAATATCCCAAGAGGAGAACAGAGGAGAAGGGATTGCGGTGTGGCCATCCCCCCCGGGGGGTGATTTCTCACTTTCTGTCTCTCTGTCTCTCTCTGTCTGGAGAGTGCACACGCCCTATAGCAAAAACCACTCCAGAAAAAGAAAAAAAAATATATATGTACATATATCTATATCTATATCTAGATATAGATATAGATATATATATATCCTCACTTTACCAATAACCCAGTCTCTCTCCTTTGAGAATGTTACAGCTTTGCCTTGCTTCTCTCTGTGGGGGGAAGGTTGGTGGCTTTGGGAAAGGCTTGTTTTGAAGCCTTGGATCAGGAGGACCATAGGGGCCCTGAGGGTCCAGGATAGCCATCTAGGATTTTATCAGTCGGTTTTATCTAATTCCCTACAGTAGTTTGAGGTAAGAGAAGAAGAGATAAAAAGAGGGGTGAAAAGAGGAGAAAAGGCAGAAGTGAGAGAAGATCAGGAAAGTGGGACAAGATAGCCACGCAACACACAGGGGCCTTAGAGTTAAGCTCTGACATCTCAGATCCTTCCAGCACCCTGGTGGAGAAGGTCCCATCCCCATTTTACAGATGAGGAAACAGGTTCAGTGCTGTCAAATGAAATGTTCCTGAGTACTCGGTGGGGAAGGGGGTGAGGTGGGCAGTGCAACACCAGCTCAGAACACTGACTGCTGTCCCCGGTCCTCTCGTATGGCAGGCGCTCTCAAACTGGTGCAGATCCCAGCAGGTGCCAGGCACATCCAGATTGAGGCGCTGGAGAAGGCCCCTGGCCGCATTGGTGAGTGTCGGGTCCTGGCAAAGGCCCCGGGGCCCTGCCTCAGACTAGGGAATTGGAAGAGTAGAGGGCAGGATTCTAAGGCAAGGAGAATTTCACAAACTTGATAAGGGGCAGAGAACACTTTATTATATTTTTAAATTTATGTTGAGTGAGTAGTTCATTCCATGCTTCAAATTTCAGAAGGTCTAAAAAGGTGTTCTAATCCATTGTCTTGCTAATAACAGAAATACTGAAATCTGGGTACTTTATAAAGAACAGAAGTGTAATTAGCTCAGAGTTTTGGAAGTCTAAGGTCAAGGGCCACATCTGGTGAAGGTCTTGCTGGTAGAGGGCGTGGCAGAGGACACCACGATTGCCAGACAGCAAGCACAGAGCCTGTGTCTGTGTCTCTTTATAACCCGTAAGGATCCCATCATGGGGGCCCCACCTTAACCCTATATCTTATCAAGGCCCCACCTCCCAACACTGTAGTTGAATTTTTAACCCTCTTAACCCTGTCACCACCAAATCCCCACACATGAATTTTGGTGAGATACATTCAAACCATAGCAGAGGGCATCTCATGAAGAGCCCCCCCTCTCATTCCTGTCCCCAAAGGGCAAATTTTCCCCCCAGGGTCAGCCAATTTTAATAACTTCTTGTGCACATAGATGCTTTTGAAGAAAAGCCAGTTTTACAGAGTGCATCAGTCAGTTTTTGCTGCATAACATCCTGCCCTAAAACTTAGTGACTTTAATAGCAGCTCTTTATTAGCTTCTGGTTCTGTTGGTCACCCAGTTTGGGCTGGACTCGGCTGGCTGTTCTGCTAGTCTACCTAGAGGGACTCATGCAAGTGTCCTCAGCAGGTAGGTCTGTTGGGAGCTGGTTGGTCTAGGACGGCCTCACTGACGTGCCTGTCGGTTGGTACTGGCTGTCAGCTAGGATCACGAGGGTGACATGATGTTATCACGAACAGATGAACTGAGATTATTCACATGGCATCTGTCATATGGTGCTTAGGAGTGGCAAGAGAAGGTGAGCCTCAGGTGCAAGCACTTTTCAAGTCTCTGTCTACATCATTTCTTTTTTAAGACGTTTTTGCAGTAGGGCACATGTACTCGCTGGAAAGAGACAGAGACAAAGTGATAAGTCACCCCCCAGGGAGTATGGCCATGCCACAACCCTTCTCCATTCTCTCCGAATCTTGGGCATGCACATGCACATGCCTGGCATGAGTTTTTGGGGTTTTAAAAAAATTTATTTATGGTTAATTTAACCAGAGAGGAGAGAGACAGAGTGAGAGAGAGAGAGGGAAAGTGAGAAAGCAAGGTGCCAGGTCTGGGACTCTAATGCAGTGGACCACATGGGATTCCAGTGCCCTTAACCACCACGCCACCTGCCGGCCCCCCAGTATGAGCTTTAAGCTGCCAGGCCAGGACTTGAACCATAATCGACTATATGGGAGTCCAGCAACATAACTATTATGCCATCTGTTGGTCCCTACATCATGTTTTATAATATCCCATTGGCTCAAGTCGCATAGCCCATTCTAGGTTTAGGGGTCAGAAAAAGAGACTGTCTCCCGATGAGAGAAGTGGTAAAGTCACGGTGCAAGGGGCAGGCATGCAATAGGAGAAATTGATAGCTTTTTTTTTTTGTCAATCTACCACATGGGCCCTTAAATTATCTTCATTATAATGATACTTAAACACAGGGTCAGTCCGGCTCCATACCCTGGTTGTTAAGGCAGCTGGATCTGAAATGGCTGACTTTTTGGTTTGAATCCCAGACACAGCAGCTTAAAAACACCACCAGGCACGTGCGAGTGTATGTCCAAAATCTTGAAAGGAGGGAGGGGGGGCATTACAGAATGACCATTGCCCATGGGGGCTGCTTTCTCTCTCTGTCTCTCTGTCTCTCCCCGCCTCACTCATGCACCCTCTGGCAAAATTAAACAAGCACAACAAACAAAAAACACAGGGTCACTAAATGTGGTTTCTACCTTTTACATTTATATAGCTATGAAACTAAGACAGCTGAAACATGAGAACCCCAAAATAAGTTATTAAAATGCAAATGAAGAACATGAATATAATGTGAACGTTGTTTTTGTTTGTTTTGTTTTTGTTGAAACTCAATAGTCACAAAATGAATATGTCCAGAAGAGGCAAATCTGGAGATGCAGGAAGTAGAGTAGTGGTCGCCAGTCTGGGGAGGGGGTGGCAGGCTAGGACACGACTGCTGATGGCATGAACTGTCTTCCGGGGGTGATGGAAGTGTTCTGCAGTCAGACAGTGGCAGCGGTTAAAGACACTGAACTGCCTGCTTTAGTGGGAGAGAGCGGTGGTATGGCTCATGAATTCTGTCTTTTTTTTTTTACAAATTCATGAACCTGGTCTGGAGCAGGGTCCCAGCGGGCAGGTGGCAGGGGCTACTTCCTGCACATTGGACAGTGGCTGGGCTCTCCCACACCTGTCTGTGTTTAGACTCCTCTTGGGGGGTACGTGGGCCAGTGTCACCCCAGCATGTCACAGAGGCCCTCTTACCCATTATGCCCACCAAGCAGCCTGCTTGGCACCAACTCCATCATAGACACAAACACAAAACACGACAGCTCCTGGCGGGCTGAAACATCACAAAAATGCAGACACTCATATTTTTAGATGATCATCAGAATTATAATGTGAAAAGCATTTGAAGTCTCTGGGGAGCTGCGTCCCTCGGGGATACATCTGCCTTGGCAGCTCTCCTTGGCAAGCTGAGGTTCATTCCGGACTGTCTGCTCTGGGAGGCACCGAAAGGGCAGAGTCCACACAGGCGATAAGTGTAAGGGAGAACGCAGTCCAGCCTGGGCCGGGCCCTCTCTGTTCTGGACTCCCAGGCACAGGCTGAGCATGAACTTGCTCGCGTGGCTTTTGGGCAGGTTCCCTGAAGCGTTAGAGCTCTCTGGGGAGCCTAGAGGGAGAGGAAGGAAGGGTGGCCTTGGAGCTGAAACCCAAAGTTGGCCCAGGTGGTGCAAGAACACGTGTGAGGTTCACAGTGGCCCTCAGAGAAATTGTGTGTGTGTGCGTGTGTGCGTGCTCTTGTGGGTGTGAATGGCAGAAGGGCACTGACAGGGCAGAAGCCCCAGACAGGTGGGCATCCTGGCAGTGAAAGCTGAGGCTCTGTCCAAACTCCTTAGACACTCCTGGAATTGGGGACATGGCTCTATGAAAGGACGGGTAGGGAAGAGAGCTCACACGTTAACATCTACCACGTGCGGGGCCTGGAGCTGCCCCTTCACATACACTGCACCATCTAAGCCTCAGAACAATCTACGAAGGACACTGTTATCCCATTTTGCAGTTGAGGAAACCAAGGCTCAGAGAAGTTAGGCAGTTACCCACAGCAGAGCCAGGGTTCAGAGCTGGGTCTGGACAGTAGAGTTGTCCTGGTCCACCCCCGGCTCCAGGGACTAGGGGTGGACAGCCAGAGGTCCGCCATGGTGGCTGCTATGAGATGAAGGAGCAGTCAAGGGCATGGGGGTGGTCGAGGCTGGACCTGGCTGAGGAACCGGCTTTAGCCGGTTTAGTCTGCAGACTCTGGGGGCTAAGAGATCAGGTCAGTGACTAGGAAGAGGAGGTCTGGGTGGGCAGGAGGTAAGGGGCATCTCTGCAGCAGCTTCTCAGGAAGGAGTGAGATCCCCTCTTCCTCCTGTCCCCTCCTCTCTCCCACCTGGGCTGGTCTTCTCTGCAGACTTAGGCTCTGGCCCAGCTCCCTCCCCAGCCCACTGTGTCCAAGGCAAGTCCCTGCCCGCTTCTGGGCCTGTTGAGTTCCTATCTGCATAAATACCAGCCTAACTGTGGGATGCAGTGAGGCTGAAACAGTCAGAGTGACTGGCACCTGGTCAGTGTTCCTGGACCCTTAACTCTCAAGGCATGACCATTGTAATCTGAACCAGGTGGCTCTCTAAGGGCCCTTCCCTCTTGAATACCCTAGGAGGGTATCCAGCCTTTGCCCTCCCTATATGGCTAAGAGGCTCAGGTCTCAAGACCCAGCTCTTCTCTAACCCCTGTTGCTTCCAGGGTGGCCAAGGGTGTAACCCAGGGGCTTTGACTGGGGATCTGTACCCGTGCACCTCCCACCTCCTGCCCCCTCACCCCCCGCAGCATCCTTCAGTACTAGGTTGTGAGTCGCTCACTAACTGGGCCTTTGAGGGGTAGAAGTGTGTGGGTATTTGTAAATCTCCCTCAGCGCACTGGAGTCTGTGCTGGGCCTTGGAGATGAGCTGGTGGGCTGCTGGGAGAGGCAGTCCAGTGCTCCCAGCAGTGCTACACAGTCTATTCTGGCGGTCTCATGCCCTCTGCCAAGTTCATTATGCTCATTGTCCCAGAGCTGCATGGGGAGGGACATTGCTGTTACCCTCTCGGGCCAGTAGTCCTCTGTCTAGGGACAATTCCCATTCCCATTTACAGATGGTGAGATAGGGGCATAGGGGTGCTAAGTAATGTCCCCACCATCAAACTGACTGCAGGACCTGCATTTTCTTTCTTTCTTTCTTTCTTTCTTTCTTTCTTTCTTTCTTTCTTTCTTTCTTTTTTCTGTTTTTTTTTTTTTTTTTTTTTTTTTTTTTTGCATTAGAGTGGATGGGCTCACTGAAGACAAAGAGAGAAAGAGAAGAAGTGAGAACCACCCCCTCTCAGGGGGGATGGTCACACTACCATTCCTTCTGCTCCATTCTCTGGGACTTTGGGCATGCACAGACACATGCCTGGACATACTTCTGGTGTGATTTTTAAGCCACCAGATCTGGGATTCAAACTGTGCAGTCAGCTATGTGGGATCCAGCCACCTTAAGCACCGTGCCACCTGCTGGCCCAGAGCCTATATTCTATGCTCTGCTATAGAAATTTTAGGGAAGGCAGAACAGCTGAGGGATGGGCAATCTAAGGTTTCCTGCAGGAGAGAGATGAAGAGTACGTTGAGCCTTAACTATGGGTTAGTTAAGCAAGAAGAAGAGAAGGTCGTGGGAGGGGAGGAATATGGGCACCAGGATCCAGAGGCAGGGACAAGTGTGTGTAATTCAGTGCTGACCCATTTGGGAAGGGCTCAGGTGGGAAATAGTAGGTAGACAGGGGAGCCCTGAGGAGCCCACGGGGAGGGCCTCGAATATCGTATTCCCAGGGCCCCCTGTGGAGGGGGATAGAAATCTATGTGACCCTCCCCTCTCCCCCACTTCTGGCCAGTGGTGAAGAACCAGGTCACCGGCAACTTCATCCTCAATCCCAAGGGCAAGGAAAACACAAGCAGGACCTTCAACACCATGGGGCTGGAGTGGGAGTATGCGGTGGAGGACGCCAAGGAGAGCCTCAAGACCAGCGGGCCCCTGCCCGAGGCTATCGCCATCCTGGTGAGCCCCCACTCGGCATGGTGGTCCCTCCAGCTCACTGCCTCTGATGCCCAGCTCTGGGCCTGGGGGAAGTGCCTGTTCTAATGTCTTCACAAGGCTGGACAAAGCCCAGGTGCCTCCATCCTGGTCATCTCCTCAGTTGGCCAGGTGACAAATGAGGAGGGAAAAAGAAATAGTGTGTCCTCGCTGTCAGACCCCAGGATGTCACACACAGACAGTCAGTTCTCCTTCATGCAGGGCAGAAAGGGGGCCTGGGGGGCCCTGGTGGGGACCCCACCTCCTTCCCTCTGGGCAGGGTTGTGATTATTAACTGTGCACAACAGACCACAAGAAGGTCTGTCCACAGTGCCCTGAGCTCTGGCTGGTGGCAGGGAGGCCTAGAGCAGGCTTTGTTCATGGTGTCACACTTTGCCAGTTGGAGAGGTTGTGAAGGGTAGGCTCTGTGGCCTATCGGTATAGTTCCTATATCAGCGTAAATTAAATTCCACACATACTTTCTGCTCATATTTACTGGCCGCCCATGTAGCTCTGGCCAGCTGGTGTTCAACAAGGGTACCAAGGCCGTCTGACAGGAAAAGGATCTTCTCTTCAACAAACAGCACTGGCGCAACCAGATAGCTACATGCCAAAGGATGAAGCCAGGCCCCTCGCTCACATCATATACAAAAATTAACTCAAAACCAATAGTCCAAAGACCTAAATATAAGAGCCAGAACCAAGGAACTCTTAGAAGAAAACAAAGGGGTACATATGGTGCTGGATTCTGAGATAGGACTGCAAAGGCAGAAGCACGAGTAGACGGATTGGACTTCAACATGAAAAACTTTTGTGCATCAAAAGACATCACTGAGAACGTGAGGAGACCACCCACAGGATGGGAGAGAGTATTTGTGCATCGAATTACCTGGGAAGGGTCTGGAACCAGATGGTCTTGGTGGCCACCCTCTGGGGTCTGGCAGTGTGGGTGCTCTAGTGAGCAGAACAGACTGACAGACCAGGTTCCTGCCCTTGTCAGAACTTAGGTCTGGGGCCAGCCCTGTGGCCTAGTGGTTAAGAGAGCTGGATCCCACATGGCTGACTGTGGTTTGAATCCCAGCCCTGGCAGCTTGAAATACACACTAGGTACATGTGTACCCCAAACCCTGGCAGAATGGGGAAATGGAGAAGGGATTGATGCTCCATTGGAGGGGTGCTTTCTCACTCTCTTTTTCTCTCTGCATCTCTCTGACGAGGACTTGTATCCTCTGACGATTAATAAAAGAACTATATCTGTAGAAGGGACCAGTGCCATGGGCCCAGCCTGCTCTAGGGCCTGGCACACAGCAGCAGGGACCCAGCCAAGAGTGCCATGTGGCTGCTGGTCTGAATGTCCTCAGGCCTGCCCTTCATGTCTCTGTCCCAGTTTTCCCTGGTTCTGCTCTAACCCCACAGCCCTGACTGTGGCCCCCTCTGAGACTGGCCTTGCTCCATGTTGGCCCTGGGCCACCTCCTCATGTCCCCCTAGGTGCCCCCGCTGGCTGAGAGTGGCCCCCGCAATAGCCTGGCCTACAAGTACGTCATCCACGAGGACCTGCTGCCTCTCATCGGGAGCAACAACGTGCTCCTGGAGGAGACCGACACCTACGAGTGGGCGCTCAAGAGCTGGGCCCCCTGCAGCAAGGCCTGCGGAGGAGGTACGGCCGTGAGTGGCACACCCTGGAGCTGCACAGGGCCTGTTACAGGAAAGGAGCGGAGGCAGGGTGGCAGGGAGCGCTGATGTCTCTTATTTGACACGTTCCTACTTGTGCCTCAGTTTCCCCTTGAAGATCTTTAGTGAGAAGAAGCTCATTGTGGGCAGGGCCTTTGGGATGGGGCTGGAGGAGCTAGAGCGGTATTGGAGCAGGGTCTCTGCCCTGAGACAGCCTGCACAGAGATAGCCATCCAGGTGCTTCCCCACCAGCGCCTGGGAGAGAGGGTCCACCCTGGGTGGTGTGCTTCAGATAGTGCCAGGGGCAGGAAGTGGTACAGAGACAGAGAGAGTTGGGATGGGCCTGCAAGGCTCTCTACAGGGTGCTGTCCCTGAGCCCCAGGCAGGGCAGGGGGAGGCCTGGCAGGACCAAGGCCAAGGCAGCCCTCCCGGCAGGTATCCAGTTCACCAAATATGGCTGCCGGCGCAGACGGGACCACCACATGGTGCAGCGGCACCTGTGCGACCAGAAGAAGAGACCCAAGCCCATCCGCCGGCGCTGCAACCAGCACCCGTGCCCCCAGCCCACGTGAGTGCTGCCCCAACGCAAGTGCCCGGGGGTGAGGAGCCTGCTTCCCTGGCGCTGGGTCAGGGGGGTATGTCCTGCCACCAGGCCCCTGGGGCAGAGAGCAGTCCAGCCTCCAGGCTCTGTCCACAGCCAGCACTCACCCTCCTGGCCTATCTGTCCCCTGTGGGGTTTCTGGATTATTGGCTCCCACTCCCAGAAGAAAGATGCTTCTTTTGTCCCACCCTCTCCCAGGGGCAGAACTGGGGCAGGAAGTGGTGCAGAGACACCCTGGGAGGTGGACGGGCTCGGAAGGCTCTCCACAGCTCTCCAACATTCTTTTACAGATGGGGACACTGAGGCCCCGAGTGGGGACACAGCTTTCAGTGACTCAAGGATGGTCACATAGATCAAGTAGAGTTGAGTGCTTCCAGCCTCCAGGTCCCAGGCCATGAGGTCGCCCACCTCCTCTGCCCAGTCGTCAGGAGTCCAGGGACACACATGGCCTGTCTGCCTGCCCTCAGCCATGGTCCAGACCCAAAGTGGGATTCCCCAGCCTGCAGCTCTTTCAACCACCAGGTCACTTTGTTTTTCCGTTTAGATTTTTTGCCATAGGGCATGTGTGCTCACTGGGGAGAAAGAGAGAAGCGCCCTTCACAGGGTCCGGTCACGCCATGACCCCTTTCCTCCAGCCTGCCAGAACCCTGAGCACGTGTGTACTCCCCAGCATGCTGTCAGGCCGACCAGGTCAGGGGCTCAGATCATGATGGCCACGTGGCTTCTAGCGCTGCAGTTAGGCACACTACCAACTGCACCAGAGGCTCTGCCACTGCTTGCTAATTTTCTTTTTTTTTTTTTTTTTTTTGAGAGATTTTTCTTATAGGGTACGGGCACTTGCTAGAGACATGGAGAGAGACAGAGAGACAGAAAGTGACAAATCACCCCCCCCCCCCTCAGGGGGAATGGCCATGCCGCAGTCCCTTCTCCTCCATTCTCCTCTCAGGATTTTGGGCATGCACACACATGTGCCCACTGTGAGTTTTAAGTCACCGGGTATGGGACTTGCGCTGTGGTCAACTACATGGAAGTCTAGCGACATAACCTTATGCCATCTGCTGGTCCCCACGGTTTATTTTTTAAAATAAGGGATGGGCTTTAAAATTGTGCCTGAAAGTCCTGGTTTGCTAAAAGATTCCTCAGGAGCCTTCCTAGGGGAAGAATAGGAGTTGGGGCTTCCTCCTCCCAGCCCCCCGCAGCGCCCCAGAGCAGCTGTGCTTTCATCTGACTCACCCAGTGGATATTCCTTAAGATGGAAGTCACTCTACAGCTGAAAGAACTCGCAGACCACCTGTGTAGCTGCTCCACATTGCAGCTCCGTGGGTGACAGTGGGGACTGAGCTCTGATGACAGTGTGGCTTCCACCTGTTCTGTGCACAGCCGTATCTGAGCAGCCAGGACAGGCCCTGCACACCGCAGGCCCCAGATATTCACTAGGCATCGAGACAGTTCCCACGTGAAGATGGGGTGGCCGAGGCTTAAGGGCGTTAGTGGCTAGCCAGGGGACGCACTGGGTGCCAGGACTTGCGTGTGTATCGTAGCTGTGTTTCACATTAGGAGCCAGAACAAGAGTGCACTGTCCTCCTGAGGGACACAGCCAGGTGGCTGCAGAGCCAGGGGGACAGTTGTCTTGCCCCCTCCGCAACCCCCATCATTCTAAAGCCCAAACCCACTCTCTGGCCCCTTCTTTGCAGCCCTTCTGCAGTAGAGGTGGCCCCTGGGAGCAGATGTCCCTGTGATTCTACCTCCCCTCCAGTTTTTACTCCCTTTGTCCCCAGGTGGGTGACAGAGGAGTGGGGAGCCTGTAGCCGGACCTGTGGGAAACTAGGGGTGCAGACTCGTGGGGTGCAGTGCCTTCTGCCGCTCTCCAATGGTACCCACAAAGCCATGCCAGCCAAAGCCTGCCCTGAGGACCGGCCCGAGGCCCGGCGGCCCTGCCTCCGGGTGCCCTGCCCGGTTCAGTGGCGGACAGGAGCTTGGTCCCAGGTGAGTGGTCCTGAGGAAGTGGGAGGGGCTCAGGGAGGAGGTGGGGCTGACTTGGGGATGCTTCTGAGGGATTTTGGGGTGCTCCCTGTGGCAGTGACTTTCTGCTGACTCTCTCTGCCCATCCTTGGTCTGGTGTCTCTTAAAACAGTCTGAATATTCCTCCCTCCTCCCTGGCTCTTTACATTTATTGACTTTCCCTTCTAAGCTTCATCCGGGACTAGGAAGCATGGCTTACTACCCCATGTTCCAGACCAGCAAATCAAAGCACATCCTTGCATTCCGGAAGTATAATACAGAGTGCTCACTGTATGCCAGGCGTGGTGCGGAGTCCCAGCCAGTCCAACCTGATTCTTGCCCCAAGGAGCTTCCAGTCCAGGGAGGGAGGCAGAATAGAAACCTCCGCAGCAAGTGCATTTGCAGGTTGCAGCTGGAGCTGTGCAGGGAGTTTATTTGAGGACAGTGGGTAGCCAGGGAGGGCCTTTCCTGGTAGGTGACATTCAGGCTGAGACCTGAGAGATAGCCCATAGGAAGAGACTGCGGCAGATTCTCACGATGTTCCAGAAACTGAAAAGACAGGAGAGGCTGGAGCTTAAAGTGAGCGTCAGGGGGCTGCAGGTGACATTGGAGAAGCAGGCGGGGGCAAAGTGAATTGCTAGGAGGCCAGGGCAGGAAAGGGAGGGCGTCCTGAGGTGTCTGTGGTTTGGGCCCAGAGGTTGCCCCAGGACTTGTTTTAATGTCTTGGGTTTTCTGTTGACCACTCCTTTGCTGTGAACTTGGAGGACATCAGGCAAAGTGAAATCAACCAGAGGCAAAAGGGCAACATTGTGACTGCACTTCCAGGAGTACGTAGAGGAGATAGATGGTAGGGGCAGTTCCAGCGGCTGGGAGGGGGAAATGGGTGTTGGTGTTTCAGGAAAGCCAGTTTCAGTTTGGGAAGAAGAAAAAGTGAGAGATGGCTGGTGGGGATGGTGTGGATGTGCTCGGTACCACGAAACGGGACGCTGAAATGGTTAAAATAGTGAACTCTATGTTCTGTAAATTAGACCCCAATTTGGATGCTCTTCTGGACAAGGAGATAAGCACAATGATATTTATAAAATGGGCAAAATATTTGGAAATATCTTCAACGCCCATTTATAGGAGAGCGGACACAGAAATTATGATGTATGCTTACAGTGAAGTACTATGCAGCAAGAAAAATGAGCGAGTGCGCGCTGTCCTACCAACACAGATAGATAACAGGTCTAGGCGAGAAGACGCTCTGCAGCATGAGCAACAGCAAACTTCCATTGGCAGATTACTGGGGTTTTTCTTTCCCCCTAGAAAGAGATTTTTGCTATAGGGTGTGTCTTTTTTTTTTTAATTAATTCACTTTACACCATCACAACACACAAATGAATTTTCCATCCAAAATACACTGTGCATTGGCTCAATCAAGCACATCCACATACATGTTCTCAGCAAATAGTTTTCCAATTCTTACGTCCTGCATACCTTGCCCTTTGTCTTGCCATCCCTGATTCC